GCTCCGCATCTCATATACGTACGCCTCGAGCGCATTCTTCAAGTGCTGACGATCGCGTTCAAGCTTATCACTTTGATTGAGCCTTGCCTTTCGAGAAATGACGGATTTCTGCATTAGTATGTTTATTCGATTAAAAGTCTTTAGCGTATATTTATTAGCTCACTTGAAACTCGGTAAACTCAACCAATTGGGCGTGAGGTAGCTGTAAAGTCGTTGCCTCGACTGCAACATCACGGGGACGGAGAACGATCTTCTTCTCCATCCTCGTCTTAGGTTGTGAGGGTGATTGATTAGCAACAGCCGTCTCAGTTGTACTGGATGCAGCACCACCTGTGGGTGGCTGTTCTACAGCACCTTCCGTGTTCGGCGGCTGTGTCTCAGTTTCCATGTCAGTTTCAATGGCGTTTGCAACAGTAGAAGCCTCTGGTTTTGGGTCCTCAATTGCAACCTCAACTTCCTTCTCTACCCGCTCCATGACACATGCGTTGCAGATCGTGAAAATGCCGTTTGAATTTACGCGAGCTTTGATCCTCACCTGACAACAATTATCCGGTGGAGTGGGAACAATGTCCTTAATTAGAAACGATCCGATCCGAGAATCACCGATGTGCAATCCCTCCGGATGGGAGTAGCTAGCTGTCAGAGCAAAATCACTCTTTCGATAGAATGTGAGTTTTTTTGAGGCAGGGACGCTGGACAGATGCTTGAAGATCTCACATGAGTTGTCCTTTGCAACTTCACCGGCATCCTCGTCTCTTTCAACTTCCACCACACCGTCTGTGGGTTTCCAATGAAGTGAAATTGAGTAAGGACAGGCATCAACAATGGAGAATTCACGAACTTTGAATGAAGGTGAACAGATAGCCGCCTAAAGAATATTCACTCGATGGTCAAACAACAAATAGGATAGCCTAACCGACTAAAAAAACGCACCTGTAATGCACACCCACGTGCTACCGCCTCATCCGCATTCAGAGTTGTACTACCTTCCATCCCAAATACCTCCCTTACCAACGTTTTCACCGCGGGAATACGAGTGCCACCACCAACGAGTTCGACCGAGTAAAGGTCTCCCAGTTTCAGAGTTGATAAGGCCAGTGCCCTCTCCATCGTCTGCTTTACCCTCAAGAGCAAAGGCCTGCAAATTTCCTCAAAAAACTCCCGTTTCATTTTCAAGGAAATATCAGTATCCTCCATAAGACACTCCACATTGATAGGGATTTCAGTAGAGTTAGTACTCATAATTTTCTTCAAGCGCTCACAACTTTTAAGCAACCGGACACACGCTTTTGCATTCGACATCACCTTCAGGTTGTACTTTTCCTCAATCTCCTTGACTAGGTGCTTAAAAATACACATGTCGAAATCTCGACCACCTAGGCAGGGATCCCATGCGGTTGAAATGACCCTCATTTTACCGGCGTTGAACGCAACAATGGCAACCTGAAGGTTCGAATTCCCCAAACTGACAAAGGCGACGTTTCTGGATGGCTGGCCTACAGCTGGCAAATCCTTCTTGGTGAGGCCGTAGGCAATGCCGACTACAAACCTAATGACATGGATAACTCAACCTTACTTGCAGTTGTTTCGTTCACCAGCCTCATACAATTTAGTCCAGCTATCCTCGCAGCGTCGAGGAATGCATTACGTTCACGATCCGTATAGTAGGAAGGAACACTTAAAACAACATCCACGACCTTCGTACCAAGGTTGGATTCAGTAACCAGAGCAAGTTTGTGCAAATGCATGGCGAGGACTTGTTCCGGAAGAAGAACCATAGGTTCGCCATTAACTTTAACCTAGAAACGCGTGATTTACCAAGCAAACCGAACTTGGACAGCTGCCCTTCCTTGACTATCCGAAACAATATGGAAGAAAGTGTGCTCACGTTCGAAGTTGACAACAGGATCGTTCTCCATTTTTCCGATTAGGCGAGAAAATGACGTTATGGTATTGGCCACATTGGTTGCCATTTGCTGCTCAGCAGCAGATCCAAGAAGTCGGGCCTTACCGTTAAAGGCGACGCACGAACTAAGAGCAGATAGAAGACTTTATACACTTACGGCGTACACCTATCGCTAACTTCATTAGCTAATATCTCGATTCCACCACCTTTCGCTGCTCCGACAAAGCTAGTGAGACTACCAACATCAAAACCAACGACGGCAGACGACATCGCGGCACAGACCACACCGGAACAGTCTGGAAAAATCGACCGGACAGTCGAATTTTTCCCTCCTTAAAGTCAGCAATTAAAACAAAATCTTTATTGCAGGAGGAAAAATGAAAAAATTCGTGATATTAAAAGGTAGTCAAAATTGTTAGTTGTAAAAATATAAACTTTAAAAAATCCTAATATTAGCTATATGTTTATAATTATTTAGGAACAAAACAAGAATGATGCTATCTTAAAGAGAGCAAAATATACTCATCTTACCTAGATACAGTTGCGGTCTGCATTATTGAGTTGGTATTAAAAGTCAAATATGCTAGAAGTGTTAGGTGAAAACCGTACCATTTTGAATTGTTTTTAAAACTCCAGAATGATTATTTTAGGATACAGAAATGCGTACTCTTAAGGCACCTACTAGGGATATTCTTAAATAGGAGAGAGACTATGACAATGTTAACTACACAAACACATGTTTTAATACATACATTTTCCTTTGATAAAACCATTACACTGGACAGGTCATTCAATTTTTTCTAAAACCAGACAAAGACAGGTTAATATAGCTGGAAATGCACAATTAACGTACAGAAGAGCCGAGGCTTCTAATGTGACTCGGGCTTCATGTTGCCAGCGAAGTAGAATATTCGAAAATCTAAGTGCCATTATAATCTAACGCATAGTTAAACAAGCTATCACACATAAAGATGTGGGGTTGTACATGTATGAGGTACAAACATCTATTGCGCCTTGAATGTACTTTAATGCCGTTGCACGCTAAAATGCTTTACAAGAACTTAGGTGCAGATGTGAAGGACATTTCGGGGAGTGATAGCATGCCTTGCGGACGACGTGCCAGATGGCATATACCAAGATAGTCCAATATACATCTGAACTAAATATCAAGCTTTTGTACCTCCAGACCGTAGTAGTAGTAGTATCCAGCCCTTCTGTCCGCTGACAACACATTTTCCATTTCAGGAAAGAACCGGTGAGCCACATCCCTGTAGTTGACATTGTCAAATAATGCACCAAAAGGCCGTGCTGTGATACTCAACATTATCGCATCGCAAAATCCCAAAGGCTGTAAAATTGTGAGGTTCGTAGAAAGGCTCTCAAAGGCGACTAGTGTAATGATATACGGTTTATGAGGAACGCTGTGCTGACGAAATGCTGTTATAAGCTATTAAAAGTCTTTAGCGTATATTTATTAGCTCACTTGAAACTCGGTAAACTCAACCAATTGGGCGTGAGGTAGCTGTAAAGTCGTTGCCTCGACTGCAACATCACGGGGACGGAGAACGATCTTCTTCTCCATCCTCGTCTTAGGTTGTGAGGGTGATTGATTAGCAACAGCCGTCTCAGTTGTACTGGATGCAGCACCACCTGTGGGTGGCTGTTCTACAGCACCTTCCGTGTTCGGCGGCTGTGTCTCAGTTTCCATGTCAGTTTCAATGGCGTTTGCAACAGTAGAAGCCTCTGGTTTTGGGTCCTCAATTGCAACCTCAACTTCCTTCTCTACCCGCTCCATGACACATGCGTTGCAGATCGTGAAAATGCCGTTTGAATTTACGCGAGCTTTGATCCTCACCTGACAACAATTATCCGGTGGAGTGGGAACAATGTCCTTAATTAGAAACGATCCGATCCGAGAATCACCGATGTGCAATCCCTCCGGATGGGAGTAGCTAGCTGTCAGAGCAAAATCACTCTTTCGATAGAATGTGAGTTTTTTTGAGGCAGGGACGCTGGACAGATGCTTGAAGATCTCACATGAGTTGTCCTTTGCAACTTCACCGGCATCCTCGTCTCTTTCAACTTCCACCACACCGTCTGTGGGTTTCCAATGAAGTGAAATTGAGTAAGGACAGGCATCAACAATGGAGAATTCACGAACTTTGAATGAAGGTGAACAGATAGCCGCCTAAAGAATATTCACTCGATGGTCAAACAACAAATAGGATAGCCTAACCGACTAAAAAAACGCACCTGTAATGCACACCCACGTGCTACCGCCTCATCCGCATTCAGAGTTGTACTACCTTCCATCCCAAATACCTCCCTTACCAACGTTTTCACCGCGGGAATACGAGTGCCACCACCAACGAGTTCGACCGAGTAAAGGTCTCCCAGTTTCAGAGTTGATAAGGCCAGTGCCCTCTCCATCGTCTGCTTTACCCTCAAGAGCAAAGGCCTGCAAATTTCCTCAAAAAACTCCCGTTTCATTTTCAAGGAAATATCAGTATCCTCCATAAGACACTCCACATTGATAGGGATTTCAGTAGAGTTAGTACTCATAATTTTCTTCAAGCGCTCACAACTTTTAAGCAACCGGACACACGCTTTTGCATTCGACATCACCTTCAGGTTGTACTTTTCCTCAATCTCCTTGACTAGGTGCTTAAAAATACACATGTCGAAATCTCGACCACCTAGGCAGGGATCCCATGCGGTTGAAATGACCCTCATTTTACCGGCGTTGAACGCAACAATGGCAACCTGAAGGTTCGAATTCCCCAAACTGACAAAGGCGACGTTTCTGGATGGCTGGCCTACAGCTGGCAAATCCTTCTTGGTGAGGCCGTAGGCAATGCCGACTACAAACCTAATGACATGGATAACTCAACCTTACTTGCAGTTGTTTCGTTCACCAGCCTCATACAATTTAGTCCAGCTATCCTCGCAGCGTCGAGGAATGCATTACGTTCACGATCCGTATAGTAGGAAGGAACACTTAAAACAACATCCACGACCTTCGTACCAAGGTTGGATTCAGTAACCAGAGCAAGTTTGTGCAAATGCATGGCGAGGACTTGTTCCGGAAGAAGAACCATAGGTTCGCCATTAACTTTAACCTAGAAACGCGTGATTTACCAAGCAAACCGAACTTGGACAGCTGCCCTTCCTTGACTATCCGAAACAATATGGAAGAAAGTGTGCTCACGTTCGAAGTTGACAACAGGATCGTTCTCCATTTTTCCGATTAGGCGAGAAAATGACGTTATGGTATTGGCCACATTGGTTGCCATTTGCTGCTCAGCAGCAGATCCAAGAAGTCGGGCCTTACCGTTAAAGGCGACGCACGAACTAAGAGCAGATAGAAGACTTTATACACTTACGGCGTACACCTATCGCTAACTTCATTAGCTAATATCTCGATTCCACCACCTTTCGCTGCTCCGACAAAGCTAGTGAGACTACCAACATCAAAACCAACGACGGCAGACGACATCGCGGCACAGACCACACCGGAACAGTCTGGAAAAATCGACCGGACAGTCGAATTTTTCCCTCCTTAAAGTCAGCAATTAAAACAAAATCTTTATTGCAGGAGGAAAAATGAAAAAATTCGTGATATTAAAAGGTAGTCAAAATTGTTAGTTGTAAAAATATAAACTTTAAAAAATCCTAATATTAGCTATATGTTTATAATTATTTAGGAACAAAACAAGAATGATGCTATCTTAAAGAGAGCAAAATATACTCATCTTACCTAGATACAGTTGCGGTCTGCATTATTGAGTTGGTATTAAAAGTCAAATATGCTAGAAGTGTTAGGTGAAAACCGTACCATTTTGAATTGTTTTTAAAACTCCAGAATGATTATTTTAGGATACAGAAATGCGTACTCTTAAGGCACCTACTAGGGATATTCTTAAATAGGAGAGAGACTATGACAATGTTAACTACACAAACACATGTTTTAATACATACATTTTCCTTTGATAAAACCATTACACTGGACAGGTCATTCAATTTTTTCTAAAACCAGACAAAGACAGGTTAATATAGCTGGAAATGCACAATTAACGTACAGAAGAGCCGAGGCTTCTAATGTGACTCGGGCTTCATGTTGCCAGCGAAGTAGAATATTCGAAAATCTAAGTGCCATTATAATCTAACGCATAGTTAAACAAGCTATCACACATAAAGATGTGGGGTTGTACATGTATGAGGTACAAACATCTATTGCGCCTTGAATGTACTTTAATGCCGTTGCACGCTAAAATGCTTTACAAGAACTTAGGTGCAGATGTGAAGGACATTTCGGGGAGTGATAGCATGCCTTGCGGACGACGTGCCAGATGGCATATACCAAGATAGTCCAATATACATCTGAACTAAATATCAAGCTTTTGTACCTCCAGACCGTAGTAGTAGTAGTATCCAGCCCTTCTGTCCGCTGACAACACATTTTCCATTTCAGGAAAGAACCGGTGAGCCACATCCCTGTAGTTGACATTGTCAAATAATGCACCAAAAGGCCGTGCTGTGATACTCAACATTATCGCATCGCAAAATCCCAAAGGCTGTAAAATTGTGAGGTTCGTAGAAAGGCTCTCAAAGGCGACTAGTGTAATGATATACGGTTTATGAGGAACGCTGTGCTGACGAAATGCTGTTATAAGCTA